TTTCGTCCAAGAGTTTTTTTCAATTTTTGGTATCCGACAGATTCTGGTAAAGAAGTGACACAGTGTGTTTTCTTTGGGTTGCCAGGTTTGTGTCTGTCCACCAAGATGTAGTCACTTAATCTGTATTTAAGTTCGGGGTTGCTCACAGTCTCCAGAAAATCTTAACATTAATTAACACATTAATAACACTGATGCATTAGGCCTCTGTGAAGTGTTTGTGCTTGTGTACTCTCCTGCTACTCTCTCAGAGGGGCTGAGATCCTACTGTATTTCCTCCAGGGACACAGGGCCTCTCTGTAGCTCTAACCCCAGCTGGTACACTGAGCTCTCTAGCACTATCAGATAAATGACCAGGACAGGGGGACGAGGTGTGTGAGTGTGCATGTGTGGTGGGGGAAGGGGTGAGGGTAACATAAAAAGGAAATGCGATGTGATAAATCAAAGCTAATTCTAGGTCAATGCTCTTCATGGTGAACACGCACACACACGCACACACACACACACACCAGCCCCCTACACCTCTCACCAAAGCTGTGTTTTATGCTAACTAGTAACAATTTCTCATTCATAATAAAATGTCCAAATTAAATAATGAATATGTTGTGGATTCTCATCACTATTACCTCCCATTGTTCAGTGTAGTGTAATAGTGTAAACAGGGACGATGCAGTTCTGTAAATAGTTACAGGGTAACAGTGTATATAGAAACATGGTCATATTTAAAATAGGGCTGGAAAATATGGCTGAAATTAAAGGGACACTACACTAATTTTACACACTGAGATAAGCTGACTCGTGACAAACTGTTTTTAAAAATAGTTGTCTTTAGAGAGAGTCTGGAGAAAATGACCCTGATGATGTCATCAGGGTTATCTAAGCTTCAGCTTTGAAACAAACGTTTAACAGAAAGTGTATGTCTCAAACTGGGGGCTAATAAAAAGACACCCAGCATGGAAGGGCCTAACAAAGAGATTCAAGTTGCATTATGGTCACTGTAAGATACAGTTTTTTTTTTATTAGGACAAAAAGTCAGGATATCTTGGTTTCTGCTGTCCCGCAATGCAATGGAAATTCACTTTTTTTTTCTATGTCGGGTCCCTGGGACAAAAATGCTCTCAGGTGGTGGTCTTCAACAAAATGAACAAAATGTTCACCATAAAACCTCCTGATACACATTACGCTCCCATACAGGACACGCAACGGGAACACGGGGCATCCTTCTTTGTCTTGTGCAACAAAAATGGCAGAGCAGCAGACACCTCAGGGCCCTGGAATAGCTGCATCTCAGTGGGAGTCCCTTCTACAAGGCAGCCAGTATAATTAGCACTGTCAAAGGAGGTCCCTGGGCGAATGACACAGTCCCCCCAATTCATGAGTTGAACACTGTCACAAGGAAGAGGAGCGACTGGGATATTTACTGGGACACGAGCTACGTGGTTTTTAAAGTGGAAATCTAGGTGAATAAATAAATATAGGTAGATAAGACGTTTTGCTTATATCACTCAGCGTTATGATACATGTCACCTAAAGGTCAAAGTTTCGCCATCTTTCTGTGGTGAGATTATGTCTGTGCGCTCGAATATGAGCCCATGCCCCCATAATACAGGTAACACTATATGCAGCGAGAGAACCAGAAACAGTGACAAAGCGTTAGAGGTGTGAAAGACAAAGTCAGAGTTAGGATGGAGAACATCACTACGCCACTCCTGACCCCGTCCTGCTCCCCCTCTCCTCGCCACCAAGCAGAACCAGGAAGCAGCCCTAGAGGACTGGAGGAACAGGGAGAAAGGAGAAGTGGAGCCCCGGGCGTTCTGTGGGTCACCCCATCATCACAGGCAGCTGATGCCTGCCTGTGGGATACACACAGTATCTGGGTGGGTGGGGGTGGGGGTCCCATAACCACCATTACTGTACTGCTCAGCTGATGCATGGGAAGCTAAGATAGCTGATGGCTCCAGTGTAGCACCTGGGGCCATGCTGTACATGTTTTTCTATGTAGAAATGTTAAGATTCTGTAAATATACTTCTGTAGCAGCAGCTTTGATGAGCTTTTTAGGATATCGTTCTACTAGGATACTAAACTATAGCCACCTTATGGACTTCAGAAATTGATTCCCATTGGTGCAGCACATTTTCTACATGTAGACACGCAGGCTTGCTAAGAAGGAACAGGCTAGGAGAGAGTCGCTAATTACATGCGAGTCAGCAGCACTGGATTTCCATCCACGCTCTCTGTAGCACCTCCAGTGAGATGACAGCAAGTTGGCAAGCCCTGCAGCTGGAGGCTTCTCTCTCTCTCTCTCTCCCTCCCTCTTTCTCTCTCTTCTCCATCCCTCCATCCTCCCAGGATTCCCTCTGTTAGATTACACACTTGGATGTTCAAACTGCCACTTTCCCGAAAAAGCCATCCAAGCTTCTGTGGGATTGGACCGTGACTGCGACAGCGCAGATGCACAGGCTATAGGGTTGGATGTTGCAGTGTGGGTGTTTGTTTCCGACACTGCCGGAGATGCTACGAAACCAATCCAACGACAAGTTAATCCACTGCGGTTGTACCTATGCCAGCGCTGAGGATATTAATTCTGCTTTAGGATATGTTATGCTGGTGTGATTCATAGGTAAAGAAAGTGGGGATTTACTGTTTTGATGACTCATGATGAGTCACCTTGTACATATAGACAGTACACAGAAAAACTAACCAGTCTTGCTGTATGAAATACTGGAAGAAAGCTTTACTATTAGGCCAAAAGGGGGTCAAGAGGTCTCCTGCACACTTTTTGGACCACTCAGAATATCTCAAACACAACAAAATGGTGGCAACCAGCCCTTAATATTAACTCCATGTCTTTTGTCAGCTGCTAAGCGTCTGCAGTAGCTCCAGCCCTGCTGGCGAGATAAAGCCCCAGGTAACCAAGGCATGCTGGAAACATAATTCTTATGCAAATTAGCACGCAAGCAATCGATACAAAGGCCTCTGTGACCTCCCAATGTCTTGTATGCTTTCAGCTTGTGTGGCCTGCAATCAGTTACCTAACATTATGATGAGACAGTCAGTCAGTCAGTCAGTCCTCAAAGAACAGCCTCTTCTGCCCATGCTCAGTCATGACAAGGCTTTGACATCACTGTCAGACTAAGAGTGACTAAAACTGACAATCCCCTTTACCTCAGAGAAAGAGAAATAGGAAAAACATTCAGCTATTGGGGAGAAGGAGAAGGAGAAGGAGGAGGAGGGGGGGAGACAGTGAAAGCGGAGGGAAGGCGGAAAAGGCCTGGATGATTCACACAGCACGCACCGCAGCGGCTGAGGTAGCCGTGTCTTGGAGTACATGAGTCATGTTTATCATGCAGCAGCACTAGTTAGGGATTGCACAACTTTCACTCCATTAGGAATGCTGCCTTAGTCCAAATATTTACCTGATGATGGAAAAACAACAGCTCTAATGCCTCTAAAAAGCTCCCAGTGATGGTGGCACACATCTTTTACACTAATGTCACTAGCCATGCTGGGAGGCTGCAGCAGCAGGGAAACCTGCCAGAGATCTGATGAACTCATCAGTTATCACTCCTAATGTATCCTTATGCTGCACTATACACTGTATCTGCGGGGTTGGGAGCATGGGAGCGTGTGCATCGGTTTTTTCATTGAAGAAGGAAAACTACAAGAAAAATCAACAGGATGGAAACATTTAAGGCCACCGCCCCGAAATACCTCTCTCTTCATTAGCCCGGCTTTCCCAGGGAGGTCGGGCCAAATTTTTAATTGACAATACATCAACCGAGTGTGTTTTTGTGACCGGGGCAAGACAATGGAGTGTAATATTCCGCCATAAAGCAGAGTTATGGCTCACACAGTACAGGTTAAAGCGACGGTGGCGGGAACAGTCCGGTCCACCTTAAAAACTAAAACCCTACAGTGGACAGCGCCGTGGTGCTGAAACAGCTCCGAGCGACATCTGTACACAAGAGGAGCGGGAGGGGGGGAGGGAGGGGGAGAGAGAGAGATTGGGGGGGGACAGGATCTACCGAGACTTTAACGTTGAAATCACACACACCCCGCGTGCGCCATCACCACGAAGGACACCTTAAATGATCTTTCCAGTGTCATATTGTGTAATCTCGGTGACGTTCGTGGGGAAAGGTTAAGCAGTTTGGCGTGCTTTTTACGTGAAAATGGCGCCCGTCGCTGCTAACCCAGCCCATTATAGTACAGCTATAGCTACAACAAAGTGGGGGGAAAGAGGTTGGAGTGTGTGTGTGTGTGTGTGCCGCATTATAAAACCATAGCCAGCCGTTCAAATAAAGTATTTGCTGAAAAGGGGGGAGTCAAGAGCCGAGAACCGAGCGAGGGAAAGACTCGCCTCGCCTCGGTCCTGTCGGCTAGTAGTCGACAGTTTAAGCCCTAGCTTGGATGTCAGGAGGAACATGAGCCACCAGTATCTCACAGAGAGAGACAATTCTAGAGATTGACACAGTAATAACAGCCCACAAACACCCGGGGCTCATTCACCACCGCCGACCACCACCGACAGCTCCCCCTAACTCCGCTTTTTCTTACTTTAACATCGACTGTTCCTTCGCTTCCTCCTTCTTCTGTCGGTCCATGACACCGAGGATGATCTTCCTCTCCTCCTCGGTGAGGTGGCTGAGGTCCGGCATCTCCGGCATGGCGCCGGCCGCTGAGGCAGGAGCAGCAGCAGCAGCAGCAGGGCCAGGGCCGCCCCGGGGCCCGTGTGGAGCAGACATCTTTTACACACAGTGGCTAAAAAAACACGAGAAAAGCACCGTCAACCAGCAGCATTCTGGGCGATATTTGTGTTACATTTCATAGCTGTCAGAATTCAAAGTGGCGGTGGGATTCGCTGGAGGCACCGCGGCGGCTCAGAGGCGGCATGACATCTCGGTTGGGGAGTATCATGCACATAGTAGGTACACTGTGCTGCAGACATAAGCGTCAAAATATCTATTACAGGCTTCATCCTCATCTATTAAACGCTCATAATGGAGTTAGCGAATACGCTGCAGCCCAACGAGCGTTGCCTGCAAACAGGGGATTCGCAAATACTCGAGCTGTGGCAGGCGGGATTTACACATGAAAATGTCTGAAACAGAAAACACTCAAGATTAGATGCCCTTAAAAGAAGCAGGAGTGCACAGGCTGTAGGCTACAACCTCCAGGTATTCCAAACACCAAGCCTCCATCCATCCAGGGATAGAGAGAAAGAAAAAAAGAAGTAGAAAAATGCAGAGGATTAAAAAAAACAAAACCAACTCTTGCCTTTTATTTTGCAGTCATGTTAAATCCTGTCTAACCCATCGCTGCCATCCTTTAGAAAGGTTTCACTCGCATGTTGGAATAAAAGGGTGCCCGGTCCGTCCTTGTTTGTTTTCGTTTGGAGTCCTTAACCCTCCTCTGTCACTCTGGTTAGCTCGCTTTCCTCCAGCTTGGTAATTCTTGGAGATTTCTTAAATGCACAAAAATGGATGCAATGAGAGAGAGAGTGAGTGAGAGAGAGGGAGAGAGAGAGAGGAGGGGGGAGAGAGAG